GGTGGCCCGCACAGTGTCAAATATCACACTGGTGCACTCAGCAGGCCGTCTTCCTCAGATCAAGGGCCGGCCCAGGCCACCGGTTTCCTGGGGTCAACAATAGCCATGCTACTGGTCCCTCAGACAGCGAGAAGAGTGGGGAGGCTGAACCCGAGGAAATTTCCCAGCCAATGCACTAGGAAATGTTACCAGAGCCATCAAGGGAAACGCTAACGCAAAGCAGGATGGTGAAAAAAAGGAAAGACCTCTATTTCCGTGCGCTAGCACAGACTCAGCGGATTCACATTCAGAAACTGAGCCCCAAACAAAGGCCACGTGGGGCTTTTATGGGGCTCAGTCTCTAGAAGCGAGTCCACTGAGTCTGTGCTAGCACACGGAAATAGAGGTCTTTCCTTTTTTTCAATTGTGCTCACACGTGTGCTCTAAGTATGTAAATAGCATGTCCATTTGTATGTGTACCCCATCCCCGGACGATTTGACATAGATTGTGCTAGTCATGTCTCTGTGCCTCCAGAGGTGTCAGGGTGCATGCAAGGCGTAAGCACATTTTTACATAAGCTGCTGGGGCTGACAGTCCCAGGAAGTATGACACAGGTACAGTGACTGCCTCTTCCCAGGTATTCTGATTCTGTCAGGTGACCCGCTGATGTCCCATCTGGGATCTCGCACTATACTGAGTCAGTCTGACTTATATGATAGAGTAGAACACCTCCCCGCAGGGTTTCCTGGGCTGGGAGCAGACCACCAGGCCTTTCTCTCTGAGAGCCACTGGGTGGGTTTGAACCACCAGTCTTTGGTTAGCAGCTGAGCAATTCATGGCTCCAGGCTCCCTTAGGGGATAGCCCCCTGCCTATCTCGTCTTCCATGACAGACACATTTTCGGGGAGTCCGGCCCTCCAGGCCCATGTTGGTTTTTCTGGTGCTTCCTCAGTGGTTCAGACTATACACCCTTAGGAGAGTGGGATGTCGTGTCCTTTGAGGGGATGGCATCACTTCTGATGGTGCACTGTGACTGTTTCCCCATTTTGGGGTGGGAGCTGGATACTTAGGTCATTCAGGTAAGACTGTCTTCACCGTATGGTGGCCAAGCCCTGCCTGGTGCCGCTCCCAGCTCCCTCGCTGAGCCGCCACACACTGGTCTCCCCCGCTGGTGTGTGCCTTCAGCACTGCAGAGCGGTGGTGCCCACTGGAGCCCATCCCTCTTCTTTGCTGCTCAGCTGCCCCCCTTCCTTCCTGCATTTGTTAGTTTACTTTGTTGTGTTTATTTACTTTGTTACTGAGTTAGTGAAGGTAAACTCTAGCACACTATTAGTTGTCTCAGTGTGCCTGTGGAGGCCCTGGCAGCTGGCTCCTTTGGGTGTGGACCTGTCATTTTTGGAAGCATTTTCTACCTTTTGGCTCCAGGGCTCCTCCTGAACCTTCCTGCCTCACCCTAACCTCCCTCTCTGCAAGGCACCCCAGTTGTGTTCAGAGGGCACAGGTGTCAGAGACTGGGATCTGGGTTCCAGGTGGCCCCCAATGCTGGCAGCTGTTTTCCTAGATCCTTTGAGGAACAAAGCTAGGGAGTGCATGGACATGTGTGTGTGTATATGTTTACAGACATGTTCATATGTGACATACACATATCACACATGCTCACTGGACACACATACATACTTAACACTAGTGCACACACACTGCGTATACAAGCATACATATCCCAGTGTTAGAAATCCTGGGTTTAAACCAGTACTTCCGGTCTCTGCCCCATCTCACAGGGTTCACCTGTAGCCCCCTTCCTCTGTGTGCACACACACGCACACAGTGTACACAGACCCCCTGAGGACCCCGGCTCTTACAGCATCCATGCACTCAGTGGTTTACTCAGTTCTTGGCACATGTAAAACTGGGTTAGGCCGTTTCCCTCGTGCCACTGCTGAGACCTAGTCTCCTAAGAAGATCTGCTGGCCATTGTCCTGTGTCCCCCACTCTTGGGACCACAGTACACACGTAGGTGCCTTTAGTAAGGCCAGTGGTGCCTGGCCTTGCCGCAGGGGGACGCGTGGTATGGGAGGGGCGGAAGGGGCATGTCGGTCAATTATTAGCACAGACGAAGTGGGCCTGTTCCTGCTCTTGCAGTTCTGTTGGCTCCTGCATGCAGGGAGAGCCGGTCACCAGGAAACAGCAGAGCACTCAGCACGCCTTGATTTTTATCTCAGTGTTCCTGCCCCACAGAATGACGTTAGCCCCAGCTCCCAAATGCTCTGCAAGGGCACGGGCCTGCTTGAGGGGCAGGCGGGCACTGGAGTCCTGGAGCCCTGGGTTCTGGTCTCAGTTGAGTAGTATCCAGCGGCTCGTCCATGGGTCCTGGTCCCCCTGGGATTTGAAAAGAGCTCTTGCTGCTTTGTGTCGGCTGCAGCCTCCACCCTCCCCACAGCTCTGCACCAGTGAGGTGCCCACCCTGGTCTCACTGATCATAGAACAGCATCAACTGATCTCACAGGCCAGGTAGCCAGCTCCAAGGGCTGGTGGCGGGCGTGCTCTACACAAGGTGCCCTTGGTGGGATGGCTGTGGTGCTGCTGGGAGGTTTGCAACAGTGTCCTTAGGCTTCTGAGGGCTGCCTGCCTGTGCTGGTGTACCAGGCCCCGGGGGAGCCTTCTGTCCTGCCAGGGCCAGGGAACTGCCCTCCAAGGGAGTTCGGGGCTGTGGTGAGATACAGGTTCCACCCAGAGGTGGGAGGCCTCCTGCCGCCCTGCACTTTCAGGTGTAGCTATGGGAAAAAGTCAAGGCACAGCTTTGCTGGACTAATGCCCAGTCTCTCGATGGTCCAAGTGCATGCAGGTGGAGGCTCCCCATCCTCAGAACAGTGCCACGTGGGAACTGTGATTGATGGTCACAGGTGGTTACCTGTGACCCCCATGATCACCATGACTCTGCATGCACACGGTTACAGCTTGTCCACTCAGGGAACCGTGACTGACCATCTGTGACCCCCTTTTCCCCTGTGACCACTGTGGCGTCCCGCACCCACATGGTCACAGCTTGTCCGCCTCCCCCAGACCACCATGGTCACCTGTACCCACCTGGTCACAACTTGTCCACCCGGGGGACCATGACTGACCACATGTGACCCCCTGTGACCACCGTGGCCACCCGCACCCCCACGGTCACAGCTTGTCCGCCTGGGGAGCCAACCTGAGAAAATCTTAAGTTGAGCGTTGGGATGTTTATTTAGAAAGCAGGTCTCGGGCCAAGTTGAGGGCTGTAAATACTGTAAATGTGGGGAGGACACCGCCTGCTGGATGTGAGACCTGTGGTGACCAGGTCAGAGGGCCGTCTGACCTGCCTTTCTGTCCTTGAAGCACAATGGTATCTGGCGAGAAGACCAGGGGCTTCCTATGGGTGTGCAGCATTGTTCTTTCAGCCTCAGGAGCAGGGGGCTCACATGCTGGGCTGGACAACCGCTGCTCAGGGCACCCCTCCGTCAGCAGCTTCAGCCCCAGCTGAGCCCAGAGCATGGATGGCCATGACCACTCCAGGCGTCAAGATGGCCTCACGGCACCCCTGAGTTTATCCACATTTGCCATGTCTGTGACCACCTGTTTCCTCCCCCCCTCTTTCCTTTCAACTGAGTTAAAGGAAACTTTGTCATTATCAGAGGATAAGCAAAACAAAGGCCAGTGTCCCAGCTCTAAATGGAGAGTGGCCATAGGGACTGTCACACGGGAACGGCTTCGTGTCTCCTGGGAGACAGCTGCACACATGCCAGCCAGTGTGAACAGTCCTTGGGACCACGAGGGTCAGAACTGATGGCCCTTACAGCCAGTGCTTGTGGGCACAATGTACCGCAGGGCACCACAGCATGGGCTTACCGTGTGGAGTTTCCTAGAAAAGGGGATTCCCATGTGTGGAGGGGGTGTGTCCTCTGCGTCTGTGGGACAGAGAGGTGCCTGTTAAGAGTCATAAACACCAGGCTCCCAGGGACAGAGCCCAGGACGGGGAAGGCAAGTTCTGCGGTGCTCAGGGGCGACTCTCATAGAGTGGGGGTCAGTGCCTGCCTGTGTCACTGACAGCCATCCAGCAGCCTCATGTCTGTGGATTTCACACTGTAAGGGACAGTGTCTACTATCACCTCCATCACCCATACGCAGGGACCAGACAGCCCACTGCTGTCTGTGGGGACACACATGGTAACCAGACACCCCACTGCTGTCTGTGGGGACACACTATGACCACAGATGCTATAGCCATCCATGCATCATCCATGCGACCTCCCACCTTACCCTGCACTGACCTAGCTACAGAGACAGTCGCACACACCCAGCCAGGCAGTCGGCGTCTCAGAGCAGGAGGGAGGGGAATGTCACTAGAGAACCTGTCCCTGCTGCGACCAGTTAATAAGTGTCCTGACACACAAGGTGGGGCAGGGTGACCAGGGGAGTGGCTAATGAGGCCATCGTCATCTGAGAGGTGAGAGTGGCCGTGTGTGCATGAGCGAGGGGCTGTTCTTGCTCCCTTTTTAATTGTCAGTAAACTTGTCGGCACGTACATAGTACAGTACAAACCACAGACGGAAGACAGCCCTTACGTCTGACTGCATTTGTGCCTGTGTCTGCGGACTGCTCATTTCCCCCGAGAAGGCAGATGCATGGGGACATCATTTTAAGGCTCCCTCCTCCTCCTCCTCCTCCTCCTCCTCCTCCTCCTCCTCGCTGGTCAGCAGTGTCCATGTCACTTAGGGGTACTGTTCACGCAGCCAGGGGCTTGGTGGTCCTTCTCTGCCAGGTTCAGGCAACCTGCCATGCCAGCGTTTGGGGTGAGAGCAGCCTAGGGGGTGGGCAGCGCTGAGCCACAATGGCCTCAGTGCACTTTCTCTAGTGACCAAGGGTGGCCAGGCAGCTGCATGGCCCTGGCCAAGGCACTGCAGAGTCCCTGGGTACTCAGATTGAGTTGGCAACAGGAAGCATCCTGCCCCACCTGCCCACCTGGCCCAGGTGCATCTCAGGGGAGCACTGGCCCTTTACACCACGCTGCTGAACTTGGTGTCCGATGGCCCCTCGCTGTCTGGGATCACCGACTTCAGGGTGGCATGGCAGAAACGGTGGAGGGCCAACATGTTGGTCTTCTTCTCAATGTACAGCCTCAGCTTGTCCCTGAAGGTCTCCCCGAGAAAGCTGTAGATGAGGGGGTTCAGGCAGCTGTTGGAGAAGGCGGCGAGGTTGACGATGTGGCCGGTCAGGGGGTAGGCGTGCCGGAAGGCCTGCTTGCAGTGGGAGGCCCCTGGCTCTGGGCGTTGCAGCAGGTGCACGCTGATAAACACGTTCTCCGGCAGCCAGCAGACGAAGAACACCAGCACCACCGTGAGGATCATGCGCAGCGCCTTCTGCCGCCGGGGCCGCGGGCCGTGGCGCTGGTGCGCGCCCACCAGCACCCTGGCAATGAGCGAGTAGCAGAGGCCGATGACGGCCAGCGGCACAATGAAGCCGAGGGTGACCTCCAGCCACTGCACCTCCCGCACGTCAGCAAAGCAGAAGCAGGCCTCCCTGGTGTGCTGCAGGTGCACGGCTGTGAAGGGCACGAGTGTGGCCGAGGCCGAGGCCAGCCAGATGAGGCCGCAGCTCAGCCGCGCATGCTGCTTGGTGCGGAAGAGGCTGGCGCGCATGGCCCGGGCCAGGGCGACGTAGCGGTCAAAGCTCATCCAGGTGAGGAAGAAGATGCTGCTGTACATGTTCATCTGCAGGAACAGGGACATGAAGGTGCAGAGCGCGGTGATGTCGTAGTACTGCTCGTCCAGGTTGAACACCTCGATGAGCGAGTCGGCCACCAGGATGAGGTCGGCGGCCGCCAGGTTGATGAAGTACAGGTCGGGGATGGTCATCTTCTCCCGGAAGCTGAGGTTCACCAGCAGGATCAGGATGTTGCCCACGAAGCCAATGGGGAAGAGGAAGATGATGTAGAGGCAGGACAGGAAGAGCCCGATGGCGTACTGCTGGTGCTCCTGCAGGGCACGCGAGTGGTTCGCCAGGGCTGCGCCATCCAGCAGGTGCGCTGCGCCCAGGGCCAGGAGGCTGCCGTTGGGAGTGGCGGGCTGTGCCGTGCCCGGGTGGCCCTCCATGCCTGTGTCTCTGCCAGGGGATTCAGGACTGGCCAGAAGGCACACAGAGACCCACCTCAAGCTGCAAACACATCTCTTAAAAGGAAGGCAGTGGCTTTGGAAGCAAGTTAGACACTTTTGAAATCAATGAAGCTAGAACACTGGATGTGGCGGTTGACATCTGGATGAAAGGACTTAAGCCGGCTACTGACCGTGGTGTCTTCAGTGGTCTTTGGTGGCCAGATCCTGGTGGCCTCAAGCTGCCTTGTCCACAGCGGCCCCTTGGGGTTTCCTTGCTATCTGGGGACCTGGGGAGAGCAAGCAGAGGGTGTTAGGGCCTCGTACAATGCCAGTGAGCCAGTCTATGCACAGCCATGTGGATGGGGGGCACCGGGGCTTTGGTGGCACCCTCTCAGAGAGCCGATGGTCCCACAACAGAAGGAGAAGCAGAGCACCGGAGCTGCCAGCACGCCACCCGCCGCGCCTGCCCCTTCCCACCCCACCCCCAGCGGGTGCTTTGAAGAAGCCGCATAGCACATTTATAAAGTAATGTGGGTGTGGGGTGTGCAGCCCTTAGGAAAAGTACTGTGAGCCCGAGGAAATCCAGCGTCTCCCCAGCTGTTGGCAGAGACTGAGCCAGGGTGGGAAGCCCGGCCTTCTGGAAGATGGTGGTCTGGGAGCCGGGCAGAATCTCTGGAAGACGGGGGGTCGGGAGGGCTCTGGGAGCCGGGCAGAATCTCTGGAAGACGGGGGGTCGGGAGGGCTCTGGGGCTGCAGCTGCGGTAAAACCCCGAGAAGACGCTTTGCCTGCTCGCTGGCGCTCGTGCTGAGTGCTGCCAGGAAGCGAGGGGAAGTGGCATCGCCACGGGGGCGGGGAGCTCAACACGCCACTGGTACTGCTTCAGGAGGTGTTTTAACAACTGGCTTTGAACCTGGGGCAGTTTTTGGAACACTCCCTGTGACCCAGAAGCTGGGTACAGGGTGTGGGACTCAAAGCCCAGCCTGCAGTGTGCTTCTTGCCCTCAGTTCCCGGTGGAGTCAGCCAGGGGTTCTCAGCCTGGGGGGACTCTGACCCCCAGGACACACTTGGCAATGTCTGGAGACATTTCTGATAGTCATGACAGGGTGACTGCCACCGAAATACCCCACAGCACCACATGGTCCCCCCAAGGCTGAGCAGCCCAGGGTCAGGAGGGTGAGGAAGCCAGGAGGGGTCCGTAGGCCGCACAGGGACGTGAACCAGAGCTGTTTCCTCCGTGAGTTTTCGTTTTACTGAGCCTGTGAGGAGTTTGGATGCTGCCAGACTCAACTGGCCATCTGGTTCTCCGTTAGCTTGTTAGTGCTGCCTAAGGAGGAAGAAGAGGAAACCCCTGCCTTGGTGTCAGCTGTCACTTAAAATAGCCATTGACCTTTGCTGGGCCGGCTGACAGGAGGGATTTTTGTCATTACTTTGCAGTCTTTGCTCATCTTTGGGACATGATGTGATCAGACCAGGGGGTGGCACTGCCCAGTGGTTCTCTCTATAGCGCTGGAAGCGGGTGGCACTGCCCGGCGGTTCTCTCGGTAGCGCCAGAAGCGGTGGCACTGCCCGGCGGTTCTCTCTGTAGCGCCGGAAGCAGGCAGCACTGCCCGCTGGTTCCTTCTGTAGCTCTGGAAGCGGGTGGCACTGCCCGCTGGTTCCTTCTGTAGCACCGGAAGCGGGTGGCACTGCCCGTTGGTTCCTTCTGTAGCACCGGAAGTGGGTGGCACTGCCTGCTGGTTCGCTCTAGGTAGCTCAGAAGGGGATGGCGCTGTTGGCTGGTTCTCTCTGCAGTGTCTGAAGCCTTTGGTTTAATCTTAAAATTGTTCAGGGCTGGTTTTGCTCTTTAAAATGGCAGCGTTTGGGCAACGGCCAGACTGCAGTGTCGGAGGAGGTCGGAAAGGGGAGCAAGCCGTCAGCAGGCCTTTGCTCTCTGCGCTGTGCTTGGTGAATAAACTGGGGGTGAGGGGGTGGGGGGGTGTCAGCATGCCAGCCCTTTATTTCATCCCTCACAAGTGGTATCGTTGGATCCCGGGACCAACACTGCCAGTCTGTAATGGTCTCACAGAAGGATGTAGGAACTTAGTATGAAATCTCCTTCTGACACAGGATCCTCATTGAAGCTGTCCGTGAACTTACAGGTAGAAGGCCAAGCCTAGCATAGATTCCCCGGCTTGTCTGGGTCAGGGGAGAAAACCCGCTCTTGTTGGACCGGTCAGTGTCCCCTCACCCTTCTGCTGCACAGCGTTCCCCATTGATGTTATGACAGAAGTCCTCAGTGCCACGCTGAGCCTGGCCAGCTTATTCTCTAGTGGGAGATGCACTCTCTGTTCAAGCCCTGGCTGGCATTACCTCACTGCACTACAAGGCGTGCCTGCACACAGACCCTCCCTTGGTGGTCACTCTGAGAACTGCAGAGCAGGTGGCCTTCTCATAGGGAGCAGTCACCCTGGCCGGCTTCATGGCCTTGCTGCTGCTCTTTCCAGAGGGTGCCGTGTCACTTACGGCAGCGGGCAGCGGTCAGCCCCAGCACATTGCAGTGGAGTGGAGCCACCTCGTCTCCTTGCCCACACCGCCTCCCCCATACTTGTGCATATGGCTCCGAGGAGAGGCCTCATCCTACCTGCTCGGCCCCCATCGCCGCTCTGTGCTGGTCCCCAGCCTCCTGTGTTCATGTTCCCAGGCCTCTGCTGGCCTTGGTGGGCTCACCCATCCCAGGCTGCAGCTGTGTCTGTGGGTTCCCAGAGGCAGTCTGGCTAGCTCAGCCAGTTAGGTGGTCCTGCAGCATCTTGGCAACAGCAGGAGGGAAAAGACCCTGGCTGCTGCACGGAGACTAGTGTGACAGGCGACACTGGGTGTCCTGCCTTGCTGTCCGTCTGTAGATGCTTTCTGTGAGCTCGGGGTTTATAGGCTCCCAGGCCCCTCCCGAGGCTCCTCCAGGGCTGGGCGCCTCCTCCCGCCAGCATTAACTCTTCTTCTGCTGGCCCGTCCTCCCAGGCTCTGGCAGCAAGTCAGCCCCACTGAACGTGCTTGTATGGGAGTTGCCAGTTTAACGGCTTTTCTTTACCCGCTGGTACAAAACTTTTTTTTAAGCTTAAAGGGTTTGTTCTAGATACTGTTCTGTTTGTTGAAACTTACACAGTCTGACTAGTTCAGCAACTGACTGGTTATAAAACTGGGCTTCGTGACTGCAGATGCAAGTAACAGAATTTAATCCTGAATTTCACCAGGACATTCAGGACAGGCTTCGAAATGCAGACACAGACATGCTGGGCGAGCCTGCTGGAAGCCCAAACAGAACCTTCCCCTCTTGGAGACAGCGAGGGGCCCCTGCCGGTTGCAGGCTGCAGCATCGGACGAGCACAGAGAGAGTGGACCTCCGGGGACTGCCCCAGTCCCCGCGCAGCCACACAGCCCTGTGGGTGGTGAGAGTGTCCCCGTCTGCTTGGAGGTAGCTGGGAAGGTGGCCGGGGGCAGAGACGGGCTCCTGCTGGGGGTGGATGGGCCCGGTGCGGGACCTCAGGGCCAGGCTGCCGTGACCCGTGAGCATCTCTGCAGCTCTCACTGCTTCGCCTCAAGGCTCTTCTTGCCCCTGGAAGCAGAAGGTTGAATATTCCTCACTGCAGCCTTGAGCCTGTAGGAGCCATGTGGACGTCTCCGCAAGGATGCCTGCGTGTTCACAGTCTGCTGCGAGAAGCATGGTCAGCCCTGGTGTTCGCCTCAGGTCACCGGGCTGGTCGCTCACTCCAGGGGCAGTGGACGGGTGGCTCCTGTTTGGGGAGACCCTGTTGCAGACAAGTCTCCAAGTGTTCTGTATGGAAATTGAACACCTGCACTATGTGTGGGAAAATACACATTCTTTTCAACATCAAATACAGTGTTACATTTTTTATGGAAAAATACTGCTGTTCAGGCTTCCTTTCAGCTTTAGAAATTCCTCAGCTCTGGAGCCTGCCTTTCGTGTGTGTGAGTGACGTAATAAAACGAGCAAGGCTGGCTTTACTTTGTGCGTGTCTCAGGCCAGCTGGGAACGCAAGATGGTCTTGGCATTGTCGGTGCCTGGGACACTGCTACGAGAGGAGTGAGCCATGAGAAGGCACAGTGTCATCTGGATGAGACACATGCATGGAATTCAAACCCAGATCTCCTAGAAGTAGCGCCCACAGCGTCCCTGCATCTGAGTGGCCACGGAGCACCTTGGCACCCAGCCCCCTGAGCACCCTCCCGGGGGAGTGGGCTGAGGGTTCACAGGGCAGATGTGTTCTGATTTCATACTTCTGGCTATCTGCAAGGTGGGCGGTTCAAACCTACCAGCCATTCTATAGGAGAAAGAAGAGGCAGTCTGCTTCTGTACAGGTTAAGCCTTGGAAACCTGAGATGGCCCAATGCCTGCTTCTTGTCTGCTCTTTCTATCCGCCCTAGGGGGAGAGTGTGCCGGTCAGACCTGCTCACGGGGCTGAGGGCCTGACCCGGTGGAGACATCAGACTGTGCAGCCTATGTCAGATAGAAACCAAGCTGGACGCACGTGGTTGTGGTGGGAAGAGGAGGTGTGTGGCCCTTGGCGTTCTGCTCTCACGCACAGCGGTCATTCCAAACCCAGTTCTCACTGGTGATGTCAGGCTGTGCAGCCGATGTTGGATGGAAACCAAGCCAGACGCACGTGGTTGTGGTGGGTCAGGGATGGCAGTTAGGTCATGTGGCAGTGAGATAGCAGAACAGGACTTGATTTGGTTTATGAGTCGTCAGTCTTCTGCATTGTTCTCACCTTTAGGGACTTTTTCTGCCACCTTGGGCATCCTTCATCACTCCTAAGCTGCCTGAGAAGGGTGCAATCCCCTGGGAAGTGCTATTCATTGTGGCTCAACCTCTTCAAGTTTCTTCAGAGCAACCTGGCACACTAACATGGCTGCTGCACCTGGAGGCCGTCAACTGTGAGAGGAGGTGTTCGACCACTAAAGAAGGTGGCTTCCTCCCACACAAGCCTGGCTCTCGAGACCCAGC